TTTCCCTTAGGAAGTTCTAGCTCTCTGACAACACACCTACCCCAAGGCATTGGATGAAAAGTCCAAGGCAGAAACAACTTATGTTTACAGAACACAGACAAATTCCAATTTCTAGCATTCCTAAGGCGAGCCCAAAACACACACACCCCAACCACAAGGGCTGATGAACCCACTCATTCTGCACCTAACTTTGATCTGGGAAAAAAGGACACAGATAAGGAAAATCCTGACTCTCTTTCCACTCCCAGACAAGCAACTCAGGGTGACAACAGCTCTCTCTTACTGCCCTTTTTGATCTCACAGTATTTGTGTTCTTATTGAGGATGGGTTCTCAGTCAGCCCAGTGTCCTGCACATCGACCCCTGTAGCCTCTCTTAGTGCAGGAAATGAAAATTACAAACAAAACTCTGGAGGTTCAGACTTGTACTGCTTAGATGTAAAAACAAACAGACTACAGATCCACATGGGATTGAAGCTTTCTAACTCAAACCAGTGACCTATTCAGAAACTGGCGCTGTAAAAGTTATCAGCACATTCCCTGGCAACTGAATGATTTTCCAAACCATTCATATGGCTCCTGTACATTCCCTGAGTTCTTCTGACTCTCACCTCTGGTTCGACAAGGTTAAATCAAACTGCCCATCAACCTGGCAGGTGAAATGCTCCGAGTCATCAACTTCTTCCCTCCTTAAAACAAAGATCGCAAGGCAAATGAGTTAGTGATGAGACCACAAAACAATCAAAAGGTAACAAAACCATTTCTGTAAGTGAATGCTAAGTAGAGCTGGCACTTCCTTACTGAATTCCCAGCATAATCACTTTAAAATCTAGTCTAAGAAAGCTCACAATGCCACATGGATGTTTAAACAGCGCAGGGAGAAAAGGCTGTTTTGCTCAAGTAGCATTAACAACTAGCCAGCAATGCCAAGAAGGTTTATACCTAGCATTTTAGAAGTTGTGTTCAAACTTGACAGTGTTACTTAACAGAATCATAGAACTTAAGGGTTGGAATGGACCTGACAGATCATCTAGTCCCAACCCTCAACAGCTATACAAATAAAGTAGACTCAGTCTTGCTAGGGCTTTAGCAATGTACCAGCTGGTGTAAAGCTTAAGCTGCAGAAAATTTACACTGGCACAAGTAGAACCTTGTGAGCCAACAGGGAAGCAACACAGCAGTCTCACCTGGTTGGTGTTTTGGAAGCCGAGGTGCTGGTTTTCTCTTCCTGAGAGGGCATGAGCAGTGAGGCGTAGCGCCGCTCCGAGGAGTTCGTATCCATTGTGAAGTTCAACTCCTGGCTTTTCCCTCCACTGCTGCTTTCACTATTGCAATCTGTGCTATCCAGGTTATCCGAATCACTGTTCCCACTCGCACCACCACCTCTTGGCTCTCCATTTATTTTATTTTTATCTGCTTTTTGCTGTGCTAGAGATATATGCTGATCCGGCAAAATTATCTGCATATTCTGAGGAGTCTCTTTTGTTTTATTTTTCTTATTTTTTCTATTTGTGCTGGGGGTAGTCACCACATTAGCTCTTTTCTTCCCAAAGGCATTTGTGAAGGTAGTTGAAGTCGCAGAAATTCCAATCGTAGTTGTAGTAGTTGCACTTGGAGGCTCTATAGGAACTTCTTGCTCCACTGAAAGATAAACAGTTGATACACAATCAGAACCCACAAAATGGGATTGGCCACTCAGTGCCCTGAACACACTACAGCTGAAGCTCCTTACTGAGCTGTCAGACTACTTGCACCACATTCAGCTGAAAACCCTCCAAGACTGAAAGACTTTGGGGAACAAAGGGGAGAAAAGCTGAGCAGAGGAGTTCTGCCAGGAACTCTGACTGCAGAGGGAAGACCCAAGGCAGCAGCTGTGCAACACTGTCACGGTAAGACGACAGCTTTCAACCACATTCCCTTACTTTGATGGTTAAAACAAGGCATCCCCACCACTATCTTTTTCATAGGGACACTTGTTCTTTACCTTCATCATCATTTTCTTCTTCGTCATCATCTTCTTGCAGCTCCAGCGTTTCCTTAGGCTTATTTTCTTCATCTTCTTCTTGTTTTCTTTTTTGTTCCTCTTTCTTCTTCTTTCTCTTTTCCTTTCTCTTCTCCCTCTTAGCTGCAAGAGCTTGTTTTCTGCTCTCCTCTCTTGACTATGTAGGAGAAAAGAATCCATGTTTAAACATTTTCACACAGTCTAAATCATAGTTATAACTCAGATCTTCCCTATCAGTCTGGGGGGAGGGAGGAAGGAGAGAGCACAATGGACTAGGATGACTTTGTCACATATTGAATCATAACACAGAAACTGGGCAGCCTTCATGGAACAACAGGACTAATTGGTCCAAAAACATCTAAGAAATGATAACAAAATAACAACCAAAACAGAGGTATTACAAAAATAGAGTTTTACTGGAAAACCAGTAAAACCTCTCGTCCTCTCGATCCTTTCGCAAACAAACATTTAATAACCTCAGTAATATTTCTGCAGCCATGTTCACATCTTTGATTCAAAAGTCTGTGCTCAAAAGAGTATTTTACACACAACTGCTCTAATTTTAACCACTTTATTTTTAACACATGGAACCAATAATCTGTGCTGCACTGCAGCTGTGCACAGCAACTGATGTGTATTTAACAGGTCCACAACCTGTAAAATGATGAACTACTGTGGAACTTGTCAAAAAACTGTAAGAGCCTCCATTAAGAGAGCCCACTAAAGAGTGCCTAAGTGTGTTACTCTAGGACACTTCACAGCATTCTCAGTGAGGGAGAAAGTGATTTTTCCCACTATCTGCTCAACTCCACCAAGCAGAAGTCCATAAAATGCTTATGGACTACAATGTACACAGTATATAAACACACCATGTGCCACACCATGAGACTGGAGACCTCCCTTACTCTCAAGTCCTCTGCACTGAGGTAATCCCAGAGACCTACTACCTAAGGGAACTATTGCTAACTCCAAGCCTTCCTAAAAAGGACAATGGAGTGGCTGAAGCAGAAGTCAGTTCCAACATGCCACCCTCAGTACATGTTTCACTTGCTACATATTAGAGGAAGGAACACACAGCCACAGCACGAAGACCAACTGCCCCCAGAAACACCAAAAGGAAACAGAGCCTACAGACACACAGTTCAAACCCTCTGCTACACAACAGCAATTCTCTACTCACTTTTTCCAGATCTAGCTCCTTCAGCAATATAGTTGCATTCTTATTGGCTTCTGCAGCCTGCTGGTCTTTAGCCTTCACAATTGTCTCCACACACTGGTGACACTTCTTCAACAGGTCCTGGAATGCAAACTTGTCTTACTATCCCCATAATAAACAAAAATTGGGGAGTGAGACTTGCTTTACAAATATGAGGCTGTGTCCCCTGTGCTCATAAGCATACAAACTATTCACAGAATAGGACTCTAACTGCTGATTTATTTTTTAAGTCCTGTATTAAAAAGGCAACATGCACAAACCTCCAAATCAAACACAGGTGAGCAAATATATACATTTTGAATACTTAAGAATTTCTCATGTGTATTTTTGCTGAAAGTTCAGGACAAGATCACTCACCTTGTCCGTGATTGTGGCTATGTAGCGCATGCACTCAATGTCTGAAGGAAACTGGTTCACTTCTTTCACCAGGAACTGGACTACTTTCACATGCCCCTAGAACAGCAAAGACAACTCTAATCTCTTGTATACAATTGTCAACACTCATCATCAAAATGTAGGTTTGATACCTCTTAGTCCAATGCAAAAGACTGAAAATAATCAGGAGCACTTCTGGTAAGCTGCTGTTTGGGAAGGAAGCAGTTATTGCTTGCTCAGTGCTGACAGCACAGCTAGTGTTCTGCATCAGGGTGGCAAAGACAAGCTCTCCCACAAGGTATTAACTTCAAAATATGAAGACCAAACCAGGCCCAAGGACAGAGGCACATCTTCATGTTTTTAGTCACAGTCAAGACAACCCTCTTTACACCCTATTTGTCACTCCAATCTACTTTCTTGCTGCTCATGCTACAGAACTGACTTAGATTGTTCAAGGTACAAGGTAAGTCTGGACAGGGAACAGAGACACATCAATGTTATCCTGGCAAGCACAGCAATGTGTTGCTGGGGTACACTGCAAACACAAAGTACCTAACTGAAGTTAGGTGAAAGCAAGGCAGACAGCAGTGGCACGCTCAGCATTGCTGTTTGTCACAAAAGCTGCACATCTATTTGCTGTTTTGTTAAAGGCAAAGCAGCTGCAGTTAATAAATTCCTCTGCTATAGCTATGCTCATTGCATCCAACAACACAACTGATAGAACCATCGCAAACTAACATTCTTCCTGCCAAGAAGAAAAGGCAGTGGGTAACAAAAGAGCTGACTATACAAACTGTCCCATCACAGCAGATCAGAATGGAACAGGAGAAACACAAAGGGTTTGGGACAGCTTATTCCAGACTGGCACTGTGTTCAGCTCAAAAGCTGGACTGAAACAAGCAGTGCAGCCTGCAGAAACATAGAGGGAAATAGGAAGTCTTGAACTGGCAAATCTCAAACAGTGAAAGTTTTTGGACTGGAAATAATGAAGTTAACATGGTTCAGAGAATAAAATGCTTCATCTCTCAAAAACTGGATCTGTGTGAAGTATAGAGATTACAATTACTTTAAAGCAAGCATTGTATCAGAGGTAATTTTGCTGTGTTGTATTGATTCTTCCAGAACCAAGCATTGAGATTCCAGACCAAATGAGCAGCACTGTCTAGAAAACATTTAGCACTGAAATACAAAAGGAGTTGGTCTCCTACCTTGCGAAACGCTGACATGAGAGGGGTAATTTTCCTATTATCTGCAGCATCCACATCTGCTCCTGCCTGCACAAGCAGCTGAACCACATCGTAGTGGCCTCCGTTAGCTGCCAGCCACAGAGGGGTGTTCCCTTTCTTGTTCCGAACATCGATGTGTGCTCCTCTGCAAACAGGTGAATGGGGGTGAGGAAAGGGGGCAGTCAGACAGCAACGTCACAGAAGATCAGAGCACACTTAGATATTCAACTTTAATAACTGAAATAGAGTGGCTAGAGGGAAGAAACTGTCCCTGAAATGTGCTGTTTCATTCGCAGTGTAGTGGCACAGGGATTATTTGAACTTCCCTGACAGATGAGCACTCACTCCAAGTCACCCACTGCACCACAGGTATGCAACCAGCAACCCCAGGTCCTCTGAACCATCATCAGCCTGGTGACTACACACAGGACAAAGCAGCCCCTTGAGATTTTAGCAGAGCACATGGTTATGCTGGAAAAGCTCAAGAGCTACTTTCAGGCTTTGCCCCTCAAGTGACAGAGAGGAAATGCTCATGTGGGAGCTGCAGGATTCATACACAGCCAACAGCTGTCTGAGCCAGACACTGTCTGCCTGTCTCTGGTCCCAGCTGCCTGCTCTGCTTAAATAACACTGCAGTAGCAAGATATTCCAGGATAACACTGGAGAGTAGGAAACAGGTCCTACATCCTACTTCCAAAGCTGCTTTGCTCTCAGACACACAAGGTAATGTAAACAAGGGCACCTTTGCCACAGAGAATACAGCTACAGGTCAAATGTGCCATGAATCATAGTCATGGTTTGGGTTGGAAGGGACTTTAATGATCATTTCGTTCCAACCTCCTTGGCATGGGCAGGGATGACAACCCTGAGATCAGGTTGCTCAGGTCCCCAACCAACCTGGCACTGAACACTTAATGAGAAGAAATCATTTACCGATTAATGAGGAGCTCGCAGAACTTGTAGTGACCCTTATCTGCTGCAATTGTTAAAGCTGTGTCTCTTGAGGAAGGCACAGGTGGGGCATTCACATCTGCTCCTTTATCAAGGAGAACCCTTCCAACCTCTGCATAGCCTCCCGAAGCTGCTTCCATCAGGGGTGTGAGACCAGTCTGTGCAAAGAGAACGAGTTACTCTGTGAAATCTCCACAATATACTTTAGGTAAGACATAAATGATTGCTACAAAGGGAAATCAGGTTTTTTTATTTAGCTGCTTATATTTAGTTTAGCAGCCTAACTTCAAGCATTCTCTTTCTCAAAAATACCCAGAAAACCCAACCAAAAAACCCTCAACAACAAAACAAAAGACCCACACACAAACCAACCAAACAAAACCAACCCAAAACCCAAATACTCTTGGGCTTTGATTTATACAAACCCAAGCAAACTGTTGACTAAGCACCACCAGACACCTGTCTCAATAGTAAAAGCAAAGTTTGTAACAGGATCTCTACAACAGAGGTTAGAACAGATTCAAATGAAGACACAAGTGTTTCTACAAAAATACTAAGAAATTGGCTTTATAGCTTTTCTCTAGCCTCCCTTAGCACTGAGACTGATCTGGGCCCAACTTAGTTGCCAGGCCAGACTGTTAAATAAACTTACACCAGCTGCTAACATGCCCAACTGACCATTTGAGAGCTGGCTTTTATCCATATCCCCTTTCCTCCAGCCACAGTCATTCCAGAAGCAGGCGGGGTAGACAGACACAGCAATTATTTCAGCAGCCTTAGGAGTTACCAAAAATTCCTTTGTGCTGGGGAAATCAGTCTGGCTGTCTACACAAGCTTTAAGCTTGCTTTATGGCAGGAGACACAAAGCTGTCCCAGAGCACCAAAGGATGGGACCTGTGGAGCATTTCAGAGGCACAGAAGGTCACAGTACTGAAGCCATGGGTTCTACAGCAACGTAAAAGCTTTACAAACTTTGACTGCACTACTTCTGTTGTAGACAAGAAGTCTGTTCTACACGAGAATCACAAGCAACACTATTCTCTTCCTGCCTAGATTTCACTTGTACGCAAAAATATCTCTGTTCTGCTAATGAGTATCACGTCAAGCTTAAACCTAAAGAAGTTTAGACAAGAGTCAATCTAAGTTTCATTATGAGCTCAGCAGAACCACTCAGCTCTTCCCTAACACAAAAAATTCATCATCATTGATGCTTTTTTTCTTTTTTTAGCAGAAACCAAACTTATTTCAGAACATTTAAGAAGACCCTGATATAACAACTCCTCTGAGCCCAGAGAAGCTCAAAGCAACAGGAAAATATGAAGAAACTTGACGAGTCGGAGGCAAAAAACTCATAAAGAAAGGCAACTCCCCCACTTACCTTTGCCCTGTGCTCCACATTGGCCTTCCTGTCCAGAAGCAGGCTGACCACCTCTGCCCGGCCCTGGAAGCAGGCCAGGGTGAGGGCTGTGTTCCTGTTGGTCTCGATTTGGGCATTAATATCAGAGCCCATATCAAGCAGCAGCTTCACGGCAGGTACGTGGCCATTCATAGCAGCCAGCATCAGAGGAGAAATCCCCAGCTTACTCCCAGTCCTAAGGGAAAGAAACAAACTGCAGTGCCCAGAGCTGGAGAAAAGCTCTGGGAAACCTAAATGTATCTAAAAGCAACAGAACGTTTTGCTTTAAGTCAGAAAGGAACATATAACCTACACAAATACAGACACTGACCTAAAAGAGCAGCATTTTTAATTGATTAGGAGAAACCATCAGAGGAACTATATGCAATAGACAACTGCAATTTGTAAACAAGGAACACACATTCCAGCTTTCAGACATTCAGATGGGCAAAGCACATGTAAACCTTAAGCTACACAGACTAAAAATCCAGGCTGCATCTGATGAACTCACAGAAAAACCTGCTTCTAGCACAGCTGCAGTTCTAACTTTCTCTCGTTAAGAGTTCTCTCGCTCTATCTAGTGACAGAATCTATGTAAGCTTTCTTAAAATAAATGGAGAGGAGGCTTAAGCTGTGTAAATTTATTCCTATTCCTGAAAAAGACATCTTCAAACAAACACACAGAGCTGCCCTGAGCACTTTGGTTGGTTCCTTTCCCTGGTTTGGCTGGAAACAGTTTGACTTTCAGATCTCAGAATGGTGGAAAAGGGAAAGAATAGGTTTGTAAACTATGATAATCCCGTAAAATTTAGCTATAAGTCAGATGAAGTTTGTGATAGTTAAAGGCAATTTAAAAGCACTAAGACAACATGAACACACAAGATAACATCAGTGCTGAAAGGCTGCAGGGAGGTCTGAAAGCATCTGAGATTCCAACCTGTACCCCAGCACAGAGCCCACACGGAGTGTCTGTGCCACACTGCAGCTCAGCTGCTTAGGTGGTACATTACCTGGAATTAATTTCTGCCCCAGCATTGAGAAGAATCTTGATGATATTAACATAGCCACCAGATGCAGCAAGGCTTAATGGCGTGTAATCAGACACATTCCTGTGTTCCTTATTTGCTCCCCGGGCCAACAGCAGATCAACAACCTGAAAAGACAGCACGGGTATTAACAGACATACTGTGGCCTTTGCTATTATTCAGAGAGTGATGTTGTCACATGCTCAAACCTTCCAGTGTGCTACTAGTTTCCCTTGTCAATCGACAAGATTCTACAGGAAAAACTTTACCCTCTTCTGCTTGACTTTTCCCTAGTTCTGTACAGACATCACAGCCCATGAGCACAGCAGCTGACCTGCCTGTGCTACAGCAGTGCACTGACTGAGGACAGACCACAAGGGATCACAACTGACCATAACCAATAGCTAACAAAACTAGGACAAGGCAAGAGAGAGAAGAAGAAAGCCTTAAAATCCTTTGTCCTTTCTTGGAAGAAGAAAAAGCCTTAAATTCGCTACACTTACACAGGTGAAAAACCTTTCAGGAAAAAGGAGGATTTATCATCAACAAAAGAAACCCAACACTGTACAAAAAAAAAAATCTATCTACAAGAAATAACTCAAGCACTTTGAGGACATGTCTGTACCTCCTGGCGTCCCCCGGAGCATGCCAAGGAAAGTGGAGTATCCTTCGTGCGCTCGGACTGCGCTTCTATATCCCCTCCTTTGTCCAGAAGAATCTCCACAACACCAACATGTCCAGCAGTTGCAGCCAGAATCAAAGGCGTAAAACCTAACAACATGACATTGTCTTAAAAACAACCTTGAGAACCTCAACAGGATTATTAAGGAGCAGAAATGCACAAAAGGGTTAATTCACAGTGAATTTTATTGACCAGATGTGTCTTCCTCAGACTGGGGTTTCCTGGTGTAGGCCACAATCTCAGAGCCATTCCTGGCCCTCTTCTGACCCTGACACATTGAGGCACTGATTCCAGCCAAAGGCTCTTAAACAGAAATCTAAACAATGCTTGTAGTGATCAGTTTGAACTAAGCTCTGACCAACTCCTTTCTCTGCAAAAGTCACAGCTTTCCTCTTAGTTCCTATACAATAAAGCTCCAACCAGTGACCACATGTGCCCTGTACATGACGCTGATTGCCAGTGGCCAGTGTAAGTGCCAAAGTGTGTGGTGTGGTGATTTTGTTCTCATAGCATTAAAAGGTTCGAGATTTTTCTGACCTCTGTTACTGAGAACAACAATACCCAACCTGACAGCTGCCACCCTTCAGCTCTGTCAGCCAAGATTGGATGGTTACCCCCATCAGCTGCTCTGTCTAGCTTGGCAATGTCTTTTGCAGAGGGTGAAGCATAAGGACAAGTGCCTCATGTTTTGTAAGTCTGCCTAAGACCCCACTCAGGTGCACCTTCTTTCAGCAATGCAGACAGAAAAGCACGCAGTGTCACTGGCTTTGTATGGCCAATGCAGCTTATATTTTTGCAAGCTTCAGTAGCTTTCTGAAGCAAAGAATCCCAACTTTGCTGTTTCAAGTCGTAGCTCGTGGTCAAACCGTGTCACTGGTTGAACTTACCCTTCTTGTCTCTGTGCTCAATGTTGGCACCACGTGCGATCAGCACCGACACGAGTTCCTCGTGCCCTCCCGCACACGCCAGGGTCAGAGCAGTGTCGTGGTTACTCTCAGTCTTCATAGTTGGGAAGAAAGAGAAGCAGAAATTACAAATAAAGAGGCTTTTAATATTTCTACAACAGTACCAGATGAATGTTTTTTCCTTTCAGAACTGGTCAGGAAGCAGATCCACTGCAGCCCAAGCACAGTTACTCACATGTGCATCGATGTCCACCGAGGGGTACATGGGCAGCACGGACTGGGAGGGCACATTGCTCGGTGCCTGCGGGCAGGGCTCGGGCGTCGGGGACTCGGTAGTGTGCGAGGAGCTGGTGGAGCCACTGGGCACTCTGCTATTCACAGCTGAAAAGTAACACCAGGCTATTAATCTGCTCTCGGGAATGTCACGGTTTGTATGAAAAATATTAAGTCCCATAAAACTGCAATGGTCTAATATCAAAACAGCACTGGGGGGGAAACACAGTAAGTGTTCCTACAAACAAAAAGCAGCTCTCCAGCAGTTAAACAGTCAAACATTGTCTCCAAACTGTGGTAAGTTAGAAAATCATTTTATGAATTAGTCTGTATGCATCACACGTGGGAATTATGAGGGTGATTAGTTACCCTTTTTGAATTGCAATCTTCACTGGTAAGAGTTCAATCCTGTGCTCAGACTAAGCAGGCAAATCACTAACACATACACCTGATGTTCAAAAACACAGTCTGGAACTCCAAAACTTGTCACAGAAAGGTTAGTGCACACTTAGCCTCCAGAGAAGGCTTTCAGAGCGAGACGACTGACAGCAACACCCACTATTAATCATGTCTCAAAGCTGAACCAAACCAGGAGGGTGGAAGGGAAGTAGACAGGAGGGGGCAGTCAACAAAAATAAGAGAGCTGAAAACTGTCTGTGCTCCCTAAAATTTATTCTGAGTGATGCACAGCTGATAAAAAATGTCATCCTGCCGATTCAGCGCAGCTCAGGGATACAAGGAATGCAACTTTGTCTTCCTTTTCTTTTTTAAAAGAACAATTTGAAGAAACTTGATAATTGAGAATCAGATTTTTTTCACCTAGTTTTAAAGGAACGAGCAGAGAAATTTCCCTGTACATATCCACCATGGATAGGGTGTGCAGCTTATCTTTGGTAACTCATGTTGATAGAGCAGCTGGATTTGACAAGTGTTGTCACTGCTGGATTGCCAATGTCTCTACTGTGCAGCCTCATCACATGAGCACCTGGTGAGCTTCAGTTATTCCAAAACACACACTAACAACTACAGGTAAGAAATAACTAGCAGTATTTTGCTTTTGTCCAGGTGTTTCAAGGAAGATGAAGGATCAACTCAAACTTGTGTACAGCTTAAAGAAAGAATTTTACAAACCTTTTCCAGCTCAACCTTCCTCATTCCACTGACAAAGTGCACACCAGCATATACTCTTAGAAAAATGGTGCAGATGGAAGGGTCTTAGAAACATCCTCAACACAACCACTGATACTACTAATTCAGCCTCCAGGGTTGCCTATGTGTGACAGAGGGAAGACAGGCTGGAGCACAGCACCATGGGTCACTTCCCCTGGGTTCTGGAAACATGGGGGGTTGTCCTGACATTTGGGGAGTTGGCAGTTTTCAGTGGTATTTTTAAGTAAAGCATTCTTCTCAGGACATAGGCAAAACCAGCATTAGCGTTTGGTTACCACATTTAAGCAATGAAATACTGGATTTGAATTCCTGTTACAACCTTCACCAGCAAACCAGGTTTGCATTGAAGGTTTCAAATATGAAAGCTCCCACTTCACCTGCTAACTCTGGATTACCACTCACAGAAGCAAATGAGCATTAATTAATGCAATACAGTTGTCTTCTTGCTCAGCAGAATGAAGTGCAAGATAATAACTGGATTTCTAGAGATCATTCCTTCCAAAATACAAGACACCGAATCACCCTGCTAAGGACTTAAGTTCAAGCAAGCTGGTCCTTCCTCATGGAAGATGCTGGCTCAGTGTTTTCAGATCTTGCAGCCACAGATAGATGTAAAACCGCGTGCATGTGCTGTGCATGCAGAGGGACTGTGCAGAGAGACTCCACTTCAGCTGGTTTAAGGATCCTTAGTATAATATATTCAGTGATTTTGTTACAGGTTCAACAAATTCTCTGTATTTCACAACCATGACTGAAAATATCCAAGTATTTCTTGCATACTTTAGATTTTCATCATGTGCTTGAAACAAATGAGTGTGCACTAAGCACTTCACATGCACAGTAACAATGATGTCGAACGTGAGAGAACACCAAAGGTAGCAGAAATGCAGCTAAACTCTGTACTGATACTTTTAAATCTGGATTAAAATTAAATCTAACAGCAAATATTCCTACAATGCCCACCAGTTAATCACCCTCTCTGTAACTGCTGAGGTTACTTACTTCTGCCTCCAGTCTCACGGGGCTGATTTGGCTGAAACCAAGCTACACAGCAACAGAGAGTTTTAACTTGCAGATGACCTTGCAGCAATGGTTCTGACATCCCATCACATGCATCTCTATGAAACTGGAGTTATCTCATATTTCCCCAACTCTGTTTCTGGATAACCAACCTCAATCACAGGAGGTGGGACAGGCACTGTAAACCCTACCCAGCGAGACATGGTCATCCCACCACCAGGACACGATGGCAGAGCCACTCCTCTAGTCTGCCTCCTGCTGCCAGAGTGGCCTGGCCATGCCCTCAGGGATGGCTTCACCAGTCTGACACTGGCCCCAGAGAACTTGAGGACATCTTGCCGATCACGAGTCTTTTGCAGGTCACACTCAGCACCAGGAGCTCATGTGCAGCCTTCCCAAGGGGCAGTATCACCATATCCACTGCAGACCTCCATCTCAATCCTTGGCATTAACGTGGAATGATTGTGGCACTGCAGCTCAGCACTGCCTGTGCCTCCAAGGAAAGGCTGGCTGCAGGGCACAGACCCTCTGTGCCTCCCAGGAAAGGCTGGCTGCAGGGCACAAACCCAGCCAAGGTGGACAAGCTCCTTCAGCATCTCTACACTGCACAGCACAGTTTCACTGGACTAGAAAAATGTGTGGCTTTCACCCTTTGAGAAGGGGGAAACTTTCCAATGTGCAGACTGTTTCCTACCAACAGACATTTGTTGTTCTCACCAGGAAGGGCACTGACAGACACACGGCCAGGCTTTGATTAAACATCTTCTGAAAAAAGCATTTTCACAATGTGCACCACCATATCTTCAAAAACACCAGTTTTGTGCCATAGGTTTTAGATGCTTCCATAGACTTCAATATTAAAAAGACTTGCATTTAAAAAAAATAAAATATCCTACACTTGACAAAATCCAGGTTTCCTCACGCTCTACAAATGGCTTGCAACATTCCAAAGGGTTGTCTTTGTATCAGTGTGAAGCTGAACACTGGTCTACAAAGACATGGATGCCTACTTTCCAAAGGTACGAAAAAATATCAAAGGAAACATGAGTAAAACAAAAGAAAGCAAGAACTTGGTATTTTATCTACGTACAACTCTGGAGGCATTGGCAGAACCTGGAGCAAGCAGCTCTGGACAAGATTTCAGCTGTAGGCTGAAACCATGTCTAACCAAGTGCTGTCATGCCATGAGCATGGACATTCAGGAATATTGGACTTGGATTTCAGTTCCCTTCTCCTCAAGGGAACTGGGATTTTCCAGACAAAGAATCATCCTTTTTCATGCCTGAGCAGCCTTCCAGCCTGTCCATGCAGCTTCTCCACAACCTGTTCCTGCACAGAGGCTTTTGCATGTTGGTAACTGCAGCTCCTTTCATGAGTCACCATTTCCCACTCTAGATTATCCTAGTAACCAGTTTTACTCCTGACAGCAATCATCAACAAACACAGCAACTCAGATGTCACCTTCGAAATCTTTACCTTAAAAAAACACAGTTCTGTATTCACAACCAGAATTTCAGAACCAAACAACAAACAACAATAAAGTTTCTCAGAACATGCCTGAAATTTCAGTAAGAAATGGGAGCTCACAGGGGGACAGTGGGACAGAAGCACACACAGTCTCTTGACTAAAAATACCAGCTGAGCACAACAAAGAGGAATAAAAATATTCCAACTAGAGACAAAACCTAGCAACAGAGAAAAGAAACTTCTTCATCTTCAATACCCTAACCAGAAAAAAGCCTCAATTCAGATACTGCCAACTAAGAAATCTACTATGGTAAATGCAGAATGTGAACTGAAATGGAACTCCAACTGTGCAAGACAAGAGGCTCCAAGAAACCAAATATGTACTGAGTAATGAAAATAATATCCAAAATGTCCTCTTCTGATCATCAATTTATGGCCTTCCCATTCTCAACTGCACCATGTCTCTGTGTCTTTTGTAAATCTGATTAAAGTTTTGTCTCTAGTAAACCACGCCTTCAATACAGGATTAGGTGCAGTATTTTTGCATAAGCACATATAAATAAACTCCATTGCAATCAAAACATTCTGGAGTGGAAAGAGCTGCTTCATTTTCAGGTTTTACCTGACTTTCCAAAAGGTACTTGGTGGCCTGTGCAGAACTTTATGAAAGAGATGACACAGGTACATGCCTGCACGTGACTCACTGCCAGGCAGGTTGCCACTCTGCACCTTGACATCCAGTGCCTCAACACCTCACAGCTGACAAATCCTGTCAGCAGAATGGTGAGATAAATACTTCATTTATGTGTGTTGTCACTGTTAAATTAGTCAATAAAATATAGATTTGAGGCTTCATAGGAATGCAAGTTCTCCCATACAGTTAGTCCCAACTGCAGCTTGGCAAAGTTTGCCTCTTACATCACAGAATCCCAGACTGGTTTGGGATTGAAGGGCCCTTAAAGCTCATCTCATTCCAACCTCTGCCACAGGCAGGGACACCTCCCACTAGCCCAGGTTGCTCCAAGCCCCATCCAACCTGACCTGGAACACTTCCAGGGCTGGGGCAGCCACAGCTTCTCTGGGCAACCTGTGTCAGTGCCTCAAAGCCAAGAATTTCTTCCCAATATCCCATCTAACCCTGCACTCTGGCAGTGGGAAGCCACTCCCTGTGTCCTGTCCCTCCAGGCCCTTGCCTGAAGTCCCTCTGAAACTCTCTTGTAGTGCCTTTAAGCACTGGAAGGAACTCTAAGCTCTCCCCGCAGTCGTCTCCTCTCCAGACATAGCAGAGCAGAGCTGCTCCAGCCCCTGGAGCATCTTTGTGGCCTCCTCTGGATATCACCACTGGTAAGAGCAGCAGGAGAAGATCTATCAGGGCAGAGGGAAAAAGCATTTCTTCCTTCTGAAGCATCCCCCATCCTCAGAAGGAACAAAAACATTCATACCTCTTCTGAACTCAGAATCACTGCAGCTCCAGCAGTGGGACCCCTCACGGGACAGCACCTCCCTAGGAGCATCTTTGTGGCCTCCTCTGGATATCACCACTGGTAAGAGCAGCAGGAGAAGATCTATCAGGGCAGAGGGAAAAAGCATTTCTTCCTTCTGAAGCATCCCCCATCCTCAGAAGGAACAAAAACATTCATACCTCTTCTGAACTCAGAATCACTGCAGCTCCAGCAGTGGGACCCCTCACGGGACAGCACCTCCCTAAGAGCCAGGCTCTCCAGGCACGAGCCCCTGAACCAATTCACCTGCCATCTGTAGCACACATGTAAGAACCAGTTCTCATCACAGTTCCTACTGCTCAACATTTCTGTACAAAATGAAGGACTTAATGGGCCAGTTTGTGGAAAAAGTCAAGTGGATTTTAAATACAGAGCAAAGAGTTCAGAGTATGAGTAGGTCAATTTGTAGTTTGCTTTTACATGGACACAAATCTGAGATGGAGTAGGATTATAATTTACACGGGGGTCAGTTTTACACAGTCTAGATTCAAAAAGAAGCTATCTTCCAACAACTACTCTTTTAGGGGGGATAAAACAAACTTAAGAATTTCAGAAGAAAATACATTTCAGTGAAGCAGTATCAATACATTTTTGCAGAAGCCTCTGGAATTCAACAGCTTAAGTCTCCTTGAGTTGCATTTTTGCAATTATAGTTCCTAAGAGCTGCAGATGATGCCATTTGCAGTAACTTTTGAAATTAGTAAATCTCTTTTCTTAGCAAAAAATGTCTTTAGCATAAACCGTAACCAGTTTCAGAAAATGTCCATTTACTCTTTTTTATTTAAGGTAAAGTTTTCCTGGTTGTTTGCCATCTTCCTTCACACAGCAGTTCTCACACTCAGCTGACTGCAGCACTTTTCCCTGAGGGTGCACTGAGTATCTGGACGCAGTATGAGCTGCTGACCACGAGAGGGATGTACTACAATGGCTTTGTGCTAGACATGTTCAACTCTCAGCAACAGCAGCTTCTCCAGAGATTAAGCCCTCGTTGATTTTGTTTTGCATTAACCATTCAAATCTTCCTCCTCACACACTCCAGTACCAAAATTCTGCGTAATGAAAACTGAGAATGTTTTAATATTGGCTGAGTATTCTGAAGAGCAGCACAGAGCAGGGAGGGAGGCTTGCGATGCCAGAACAGGGAGAACTAAGACCTATAAAATGAGAGGCTTCCTTGGAATTACACTGAGGAGCAGACAGGAGCTGGTCCCACCATCCCACTACCCCTCTGACTGTGGGTTCCATGGGAGGTTGCAAAGTCACAGGTAGTCTCGACTTGCATGAGCTTGATGCAGTTACCATTCCAAAGGCTCCCAGGAATGGCTGGCCAGAGATCTCACTGCACACTTGTACAACCTTGACATGAACTCCAGAGGACAGGGCAGCGACTACGAAACAGGAGGAGTGTGGGGAAACAGACAGGACAATAGTGGGCAGGGGGACAGGCACAAGGTACAAAGGAAAGTTGAAAAACACCGAATAGAAAAATAAAACTACGAACCAAACAACACTGGCTATGTCCTACATACCTCCAGCAGCAAACCTCAATCCTAGTCAAATCCACGCAATGAAGTCACCCAAAGTGGTCCCTGCTTTTGCCAGGGGGCTCACACAGCCCAACGTGTGGGCACTCCCATTCCTCTTCACACCGCATCAACACATGGAAGGATGTTGAGGTTTTTGCTTTTCCTCCAGCTAACAGGACACGTTTGTGCCATGTGGTACATCTAACCAGCAGATATTCCCATGCAACACCCAGGCTTTAGCAGGGATTCTCCAAACACAAGCCATCACAGAACGGAGCGGTTGTGCATGGATTCCAGCTGTGTTTAAGCTCCGGCAGCAAGGAGAGGGACATGCTTGTCCAGACAAGTGACAACAGTTTGGCTTTTTCTAGAGATGGCTACCACATGGAAGAAAGTCACTGAGGGATAAGCCTGTATAGAACATTCTACAGAAGATATAAATCTGTCATGCTTTTGGGTTTCCTAATGGGCACTACTAATCACTCATGATGAGGCTATTTAAAGAAGCACAGAAAAAGATGAGGCCAAAGGGGCAAAAACAGGTGTCCAGTACAGGAAGTTTGACACTTTAGAAAAAAAAAATAATGAAAATTTAAAAAGTCTCATGTTAGAATTGAAAGTCACTGTTAGGATTAATAGCACTAATCAGGAACTTTATTCTTAAGCAAGTATTCCCAAACTGGAAAACCCCAAGACGTATTTGGAGGGAAGGAGAGAGAGGGAAACTGAGCACACAAATTAATGTAAAAATAGGTATATTTCTTAACCCACCTGCTATTAGGTCATCAAGAGTGTCGGTAAGCGTCTGTGCTGGAGTGGCAACCATTAATCCGTCTGGTTCTTGAACTAAGAGCCCCTGCCCAGCAATCTGCTGCTGCTGTCCTACATTCTGCTGATTCCCTAATGCTTTCTGAAGTTCAAGAGACTCTGTCCCATTATAACCTACGTTACCAGAAAAATTACATTGCGATGCTGGCAAAGGTTTTTTTCAGCAGGTGGTGGAGACTGGTGTTGCTCGTCATCTTTAGACAAGATTGTGTCAACCTGAGGTAACCCTGAAAAGTTATCCTCTGGCAGACCCTTATCAGCTTCCACTTCTGGGAAGACCCCTGTAAGTGAGCACTGCTGCTGCAGGGGAGGTGGTGTGTCTGTCTGACCTTTGGTCTCCAAATATTCTTTGGTAAACTGCTGTTGGGTTTTCATCTGCAACTGCCTTTCCACCTTCTGCAGCTCCTTCAATATTTTCTTCTTCTTCTGTACTTGTTCTTCTCTGTTCTTTTTAAGTTCTTCAATCTTATCTTTATTTAAAGGTTCACCTTGAATTAATTCCAATGATTTAAGTTGTGCTTTTTCAATAGCACTAATTCTCTGTCCAAGTTCATTCAGCTTGCCTTCAGTCTCTTCTACTATGCATTCCAAAGGCTGGTATGGGTGAAAAGGTGGCAGTAGGTCCTTATCTGCTACCTGCAGGGAACTTGACTTCTGCTTGGATGCACCTAAGCACATGAAAAATGTTTGAAAAAATGCCATGCTGAAGATACCCCAAACCTCCCCTCTCACCCACCAAAAAAAAAAAAAAAAGAAAAAAAAGAGAATAATGAAAAAAAATTAAAAAAATCTTTACAACTAGCACTGCACATCTGTCAAAGCACAGAAAGGCAAACCCTACACTCCATGTTAAGACAGGAAAGGACAAGGCATATAGCTGGGATTTTCAATATTGATCCTCATATATCCCTTCAAACACAGCTACTTTAATCGTAAGGAATAAGGAAACTTCGCAGTTTCTGACATACATGAC